TATATATATATATCACTTTTTAGGCTGACAGTGAGGTACCAGGGGGATATTAACAAATACTTTCCAAAAAGCTAAGTTAAAAACATAAACATTCTTTGACCCAGATCTTTACTTGTAAGAATCATACACAATTAAAACTACCAGCACATAAAGACAGGTGTCCAAGAATGTGTATTAAAACTTTGTAACAGTAAAAACCTGAAAATCTATGCATATCCCAATAGGGTAATGAGGAGACAAATTATACTATGTTCACACCCTGAACTTCTACACAAACAAAAAGAAAGATATGGATTTTACATAGAGAGAGAGAGACAGAGAGACATGTACATTGATTTGGAACTGGCCATGACATGTTAAGTGACAAGCGTAACCTAAAGAATAATGTTCATACAAATATCTCATTCCTTGTAAAACAAATGATAGATATGTATTCACATTTATACACTTTTGATTAAGCAGATTAAAATGAATGAACAACTATACCGACCTGGCAGCAGGCAGAACAAAGAGACAGGTGGCAAGTGTCAGGGGACACGATCAATACTATTTTAGATGCTTTTGTGTCCTTGTTACAAACACAGCATATTGGGTTTCTAATTTAAATTATAGACATAACACATATTAGCAGCGAGAAAGAAAACTGCAGAGGACAAGCCAGTGGTACTTAGAGCCCGGGCTGGCAGACGCCTCACTTCTCCATAACAGTCCTGCCCATGATTGTCCTGTCACATCAGCTGGGGCACATCAGCCCCTCATGACACTGTTTCCAGTTACCGTCACCCTTCTCCTGGGCATGCTATCAGAACAAAGGGTTTGGCCTTCATCAAGAAAAAAATATGTTATTTTAAAGACAACGTGTGTTTATCCCTTAAAAGTTTTATTTTAAGGGGAAACTTTTTTCTAAAATGACTTATAAGCATTATTCTTTTGAAACCCACCATTACAAAATATCACTGCTTTGTATAATTATTTTCCAAAGCTGTTGGCCAATCCTTTACAACAAGCTTCATCAAATGAAACAATAGGAGACTTGCAAGTATCCTTATGCTACACCAACCTTATATTTATTCTGTTTCTTGAAGAATTCAAGTTAAGCCTATTTACCACATACTGCAGAGATACTCTTTTTAAACAGTGTAATAAATAAAACTCAAAATACTATTATTATTATTTTAATGTATAATTAGAATTCTGTGTTCACATTTTTAAACAGTGGAATGCCTGTGACGTGGGATAATTTACTGGTAGTCTTTCCAAGCAAAGGAGCCACACAAGATGTCTTCTTGAAAGTCAATGGTACTTCTCATAATGAACAGAAGATGGCAATATTTAATCTATCATCCAAAGTGTAATTTTTCAAGGTTTCCACATATTTCTCAGAACCTATCAGGATAACGTGGCAAATGCTGAACCCTCAAAGCAGGAAATACAGTTTTAGAATTAATACAAATTCAAGAAGCTATCCTGGACCTATATTATAAATTTTTTTTAACGTTTATTTATTTTTGAGAAGAGAGAGACAGAGCATGAGCGGGAGAGGAGACAGAAAGAGGGAGACACAGAATCTGAAACTGGCTTCAGGCTCTGAGCTGTCAGCACAGAGCCCAATACGGGGCTTGAACTCACGGACCGCGAGATCATGGCCTGAGCCGAAATCGGACGCTTAACCGACTGAGCCACCCAGGCCCCCTGGACCTATATTATAAATTTCCAGATAGAGTGTCCCTTGTATAAACAAAACAATATTAGACTAAGTTTAATTTGTCCCCTGTGCCTTTGGCTGAGAACTCCATCTCATGATCTAAGGAAAAGCAATTCATCTCAGCTCCAAAAAATTCTCAAAGAAATAAAACATTAGAGGTAACTCCACTCCACTTTCAATTATGCTTGAGGAACACAACAGGCAAATGACAAGTAGGGCTGAAAAAAAAAATACCCTGTTTTCTAACCCAAGATCACTCCACTATTTGATAATCTCTGCATCTTTGGATGCAGAAAAGCTCATTAAACGAAACAAAAAGAACTCCACTCATTTTCCAACAAACTCTTATGAACACCTACTGTGTGCCAGATGATAAACAGAATAGAAAGTTGAGTAAGAAGCCATTCCTACCACCATAAGCTTCTGAGTGTGGAAGGGAAAATCCACAGCACCAAATAATAATGGCCTCTACCAGCAAGGACTGGGCAGAGGCTGTGACAGTGGCAGGAGTTTGAATCAGGAACAGCCCCGTGGAGCCTAGGGGATTGGGGGTCACGTTTCATGAAAGCAAAAAGCCTTGAGACAGACGCTAATCATCTGGAAGGATGGAGACTGAGGGGAGGGCACTGCAGATGAAGAGGTGAGAGACAAAATCAAGGAACAGATCATCACAGAGCCGACAAGTGCCAGTGGAGTAGACGGTTCACAGATGGTGGCAGTAGCCAGAGACGAGGCTAAAAATTAGCCAGAATCCTCTACAAAAAGGCCTGATTCAGAAGGTAAGACTTTACGCATGACAGTGGAGAGCAACTGAGGATTCCGAGAAGATTTATTTGAAAATTTGAAGATTTAGTGTTGATGGCAGAGAAGATCCACTGGACTGGGGCAGAGGACACAGGCTCCACAACGAGCTTGCAGGGCAGGTTTGCGGCCATATCCTTCCAACTGGCACAGAACGGGACTCAGTGAAGATTTACTGACCGGCTGACTGGCCAAAGGACTGAATATGAGAATGAAGTGGAGGGGTGAACAGGCCAAGAATGTAAAGAAATAGAATCAGATCTTCCTCTGACCCTAAATCAATCAATCAATCAGACACAGCAAAACCATGAGAACTTAGCCAACGATGATCTTGGTATCAACTCCATGGTCAGCCCAGTCACTCAGAAGACTACAACTATCTTAGCCTCACAAGTCTCAAATTTCAGCAGAGTACATTCCGTACCTGAATAGTGACAGGGCCCAACCTGACATGGTTGGGAAATGGAAACAAGTTATCTTGGCCAGAGGAGGACCGGGCCACATGCAGCGAGCGTCACGTGACGATCCTCTCCCTCCCTCCGGGACTGATGAAATGAAGAACCTTACCTTGGGGCATACACAGGTAAAAACATGAGAAGGCTTTATTTCCTGCAACTGCTGTCTACAACTGTGCCTGTCAAATCTTCCTTTCCTACCCTCAGGATATCTCAGGCAGAATGACTAGCTTTTGGATTACACTCAGAGAGGAAATCACCATCCGGCTCCATTTACAATTCCAATGCCATATATGATGCAAACTCATCTTTCTCTCGTTACAGGCTGTGAGGACTGGTGAGGGGTCTTCTCTCCTTGCTTCTCGTTCCTCTTCTAGGTACTGTTTTGGGAGAGTGGGGAGGTAGTACAGAGG